CGTATGTGTCACAGACTGTGTCCTGCCCTCTGCTCCTCCTGTAACCCTCCATCTCCCAGGCTGTGCACAATCCTATTGATCTCTCAGTGCCCCACAAGAGTAGCGGCTGTGCAGACAGAGCTGGCGCCTGATTCGAACAGAGGAAGACCTGGAAGAGTGAGTAAGACGCTGATCACTGCCATACATGGCATACCAGGCATTGTCTTCTGTGTGTGTATGTACTGTGCGTAGTGTATGGGTGTTTTCTCAGGTGGAACCAGCATATCACATTGGGGTCTCTCCTGCCTCTATACTACTTCAAGTCCCAGCATGTTCCATTGGGGTCTCTCCTGCCTCTACACTACTACAAGTCCCAGCATGACACATTGGGGGTCTCTCCTGTATCTATACTTCTGCAAGTCCCAGCGTGTCCCATTGGGGTCTCTCCTGCCTCTATACTTCTGCAAGTCCCAGCATGTCCCATTAGGGTTTCTCCTGCCTCTATACTATTACATGTCCACTGATCCTACCCTATGTCTGTTGGCAAGTTGCCATGTTTCCTCCACCCTGATGTAAAGGAGGACTCTGCAGACTCTGATGTAAGGGGGGCTATGGTGACTAGAGATCACCTTACATCAGAGTTCCCTTTACACCAAGGTCTGCAGCATTCCTCCTTACATCATGGTCCACAGTGTTTCCATTTACATCAGAGTTCCCCTTTACACCAGAGTCTGCACCACCTTACATCATGGTCCACAGAGTTCCCCCTTACATTGTAAGGGTGAACTCTGAAGACTCTGGCGTAAAGGGGAACTCTGATGTAAGGTGGAGCTCTGATGTAAGGAGGGATTCTTGGAACCCTAATAAATAGGGAAATGTTGGGGACTCTGTTGTGAACAGAGGGTTTATCCTGGCTGCTGCACTCTTGTTTTGTATGTTACTTACACCTGACCCCTGCACTCCATACATTATGTTGTACATTACATAGTCCTGACCAAGGTGTCCATTGTCCCAAGAGTTGCTAGTCTTAATGAAGTTCTTCTTTAAGGTTGGCTTGGTCAGTCAGTCCTTTTTGTGTGCATGAAGGCATATGTAATGGAAATGTTTAAATTTTAAAAAATAATCCTTTGTTATGTGGTTTATTAGTGTCTATGACACTGTCAGTTGTGGTACAGTAATTCGGAAAATTTTGTGGGTACAAGTGCCATTATATGTGTGCAGTGTATATAGCGACTAAGCACAGATTCTGTTTAATGATCCCCACAAATCTTGGGTGAGAACCTTCTTTCCTCAGCCAGGGTATTGAAAATGGGTTAGAGATGGGTGTTCCAGCATGACAATGACCCAAAAAACACAGCCAAGGCAACAAAGGAGTGGCTCAATTAAGGTCCTGGAGTGGCCTAGCCTGTCTCCAGACTTTGATCCGATTGAAAATCTGCGGAGGGAGCTGAAAGTTTGAGTTGCCAAACGTCAACCACCAAACCTTAATGACTTGGAGAGGATCTGCCAAGAGAAGTGGGCCAAAAGCCCTCCTGAGATGTGTGCAAACCTGGTGGCCAACTACAGGAAACGTCTGACCTCTGTGATTGCCAACAAGGGATTTGCCACCAAGTACTAAGTCATGTTTTGTGAAGCAGATCAAATACTTATTTCCATCATGAACATGCAAATCAGTGCATCATTTGTTAGACATGCATTTGTTTTGAATTGTTTTTTGCTATTCTGTCTCTCAGTGTTACAATACACCTACCTTTCGATTTTTAGACTGATAATTTCTTTATGAGTGGGCAAACAATCAAAATCAGCAAGGGATCAAATACTGATTTCCTTCACTATATATATAAAGGATGAGTGGAAGGAAGGAAGGAAGGAAGGAAGGAAGGAAGGAAGGAAGGGGTGGGTGGAAGCAAGGAAGGGTGGGTGGAAGGGAAGGAGGGGTGGAAGGAAGGAAGGGGAGGAATTTTTAGACTGATCATTTCTTTGTGAGTGGGCAAACATTCAAAATCAGCAGGGGATCAAATACTTATTTCTTTCACTGTATATTAGGGTTACACCTCTCCATCTCCATTTCTCCAAAACACAGGGATGTGTTCTGTAGTCCTCAGAGAGAACTGGAAACAGTACTGGTACCAAACAACACAGGCAGATTCCACAGAAAGTTACCAGCTCAGTGCATTTCTATGAAGATCAAAAGGTATTCCTTGCACTTTTTTGAAAAGATATAACAAAACACGTCCAATGTTATATTTAAAAGACCAAAAGGGAGCAAATAAGAAAAGTTCATTGTTAGGGTTTACATTCACTTTCAATAACCTGAATGTCTGATAGACCTGTTTGTACTTTTAGGTTGCGATAAAAAAGGATATTTTTTTCATTTACTTTAATCCCAAAAACAGGCTTCTTTGGTCTCTTTTTTTGTACATTGTACTTTCCGCCTCTCAAGCTCTCTCGCCTCCTCCACATTGGCTTCTGAAGAGCAGGGTGATGGAAGGAAATGTGTTGTCACCTCTAATTTGTCTCATGGTACTATCTATGGTTGGCAAATCATCAAAGTGGTTTCCTGCCATATAGTTATACAGGTTCTGAGGTTAATTAGATTTAGACAGTGCCTTATCTACATGTAATGAGCAGCTACACATATGTTGTTCATACTGTAAGTGTTATAATTAAAAAAATGAGGTGTCAGCCGTGGAGCTATCTAGAAATCTTATTCTGATGCGTCCTTATCTCTGGGTCTCTTCTGTTATGTATCTGGAAAAAAATATACAGACACAAATTGGATTTGTAATAGTAAGCTGTGTGTATGTATACAGCAACACATCTATCATGACCTCATTGCCTACATCAACTATTTAGGAAGCACTTGTTTAATCCTCACTTGCTGATTATAGAGCTTAGTAACTATCTTACAGCTTTTCCCATGGTTAGGCTAGCAGAAGTTAAGCCAGCCATAGATGCTTTGAATCTCAGCTGGTTCAGCATGGACTGGTCAAGATTCAATCCATGTATAGGCAGGCTGATTGTACCCAAGCCAATCCATTTATCAACTTGGGTACAAGCAGCATATCAGATTTTCTAGCATGCAATTATTGCCAGCAGCTATACCCACTAGCAATAATCACTGTGTGCTCCTGGCAGGGATGGCTCCCTGCTCCCCTTCACTGGGAGAACACAATACCTCCACGAGAGGGATTTCCCTGTCAACACTGATTGTGTTGATGGGGGAATCTAGTGATTTTCTTACAGGAAAGAAAATTGCATCATCTATGAACTGCCTTAGTTACATTCAATGGGACTTGTTTTGAAAAATTACCAGTGTTTCACTGTTTATTAGTAGAGTCCTCAGTTCAACTAAGTGTTGAAAATAGATGCCAGCATTTATGCCCACAAAGGTATCTCAGTCAGTGCAATTCCAATCATCATGATGTGACCATGATATGTTTTATGGCAGACGTCTGAGATGTGAAGCGTAAAAGTTTAATAACATAATCCAGTCACCATGGTGCCATGAAAATTTGGGACAGGTGTTAATTGTTTGAGTTAAATAGCTAAAGGTGTGAATTGTTGTCATATTCCTGTTACAAAGATGTAAAAATTGCATTACCTTGGATAACAGGTGATACTCAAGTCCCTTTAGGGATAGCTGTTTCTATTTGACATTGAGGGCCTCTTTCACACTCCTGTTGTCCTCTCTGTCCAGTATTTTTTTTTTTTTGGGTCAAAGCAACTGGTGAGTCTTGACCTGTAGAGTTTGCCTATCTTTGTTCAGCCACACATTTGTTGAGAGGTTTAGCTTCCCCAATGTATAGATTGTTGCGATCCCTACTATACTTTTCTGCACATTAGGTTATTTTGTGTGTGTTTGTGTGTTGGGTTTTTTAGGTACTCTATGTTCCTTTGAACTGAGTAAGCCACTTGAATGAAGAGTCAAATGTCTTCAACAATACCAAACCTACTGTAGGACTCACCTAGCATGAGAACCCTTGGCACAGGTGAGTTTACAAATTTTTGGCCAAAATACAAACTACTATCTCACGGTTTTTGTTTTAGTGAGTGTTTAACGTATGCATTTGATGCCTACCGTTTTGCAATATAGGAAACACAAGAGGCTGTGTGTTAGCATTAATGAACCACACATGAATTCCTCAGGTAACCCAGACACAGCCAATAATTTGTTATCTTTAAAGCTACAGCCAAAATGGCACTTTATGCTTACTTTTCCATGTTTCTGAAACTGCTATTCCTAATTTGCCACTAAGGACAAAGGTTTCAACTTTAACCCACTATAAATTAGCAACTAGATTGTCTGCAGGAGGTGGAACTTGACTTGAAGTATGTTCAGCAATTGTAAATGCAAGGGTTCTTTAATTCTTTCACTACATTGAAAAAAGAAATGGGAATTACAGAGGCTTGGTATTTCTGATACCTCCAACTCAGGCATGTAGCTGAGGTTCAATTAGGAATACAAGGAATCCAACTTCAAAATTCTAAAATGGAACATAATTTACTATGACAGCAGCATACGCATCTCATTTCTAGTTTTTATAGTGCACATCATGGAGCTGAATCCCCTAGAATTTCCAGAATAAAAAAGCCAATGGCAAAGAGATATTCCTTTCTGATCAAAATTGTCAGGATTTTTTCAGTTCATATTTCGACATCTCTGCTAGAGACAAACTTATTCAATTGAGATATTTTCATAATATTTACTATACACAGCTTGTTTCAGATACATGAGAGGAACACGTCACAAATATCGAAAGGATAATGGTTACTTATTACGTATGCTATGGAGCTGTGAAAAGGTAGGATCCTTCTGCTCCCAGATTATGGATTTTATCTCTTGTCATTTTGACTGCCCTAATATATGAAACCCTTAGTGGTATCTCTTAGGTATATTCAAAGATGTAGATATTAGCTCCTACAAAAATTACATTTTTGAGACTTCTTTTCTAAGCTTCTCCAAAGGATACATTCTGACCTTTTCAACTTTTATCCATGGAAAAAAGCGTAATAATTCAAATACTACCCCTGTACATATGACCCATATTACATATGAGGCTAGAGGCTGTTCTTCAAAATTGTTAAAAATATGAGGAGAATGGCTAAGTATCATGAATACTTGTGACCAGGGGCGGACTGACAACTCATGGGGCCCCCCGGGCAATAGGGGATCATGGGGCCCCTGTGTCCTTGCCCAAACTCAAAAAAGCCTATGAAAAAGGTACCAGGGGCATCTCATGGGGCCCCCTACTGACACTGGGCCCTCGGGCAGTGCCAGAGTTTCCAAATGGTCAGTCCGCCCCTGCTTGTGACTCCCCTTAAACAAAACATTGTGAATGTACTGATATCTCTATCAGTGCATTAATACTGTATATATTTTCCTGATGCTTCGTTTGAAATTCTGTACTGTGGTAAATATATTTGTTGCAAAAAAGGATGTATTGTATAAATTAGCAACTAGGGATTTGCTTAGTGTCCAAACGCTGAACGTTTAGGGTGTTCAGTGTGGACGAACGTGGCAGCTTCTGGCTGTCAATGGATACTAAAGAAGCAGGAGCACTGTGTCCCTACTAACCACTAACATCACTCATTTACTTACATAATTGGGAATCCCTGGCCACGCAAGCAAATTAGCAAGGAATGGATTCTTACATCATTGCCTAAATATGGCAATGGGCACACATTGATGTCACTATATCCCTGCCTCTTCCTTTATATAGCCAATGACCGCTGTCATTCAGCTAGTGTTACCATTGAGGATCTGTTGTGTGTGTGGAGGGTCATATTTTTTTGGGGTGGTGTGGGTCATCGTGATTGTCAATGAATTTTTTGGGGTTTTTTATTATTTTAATGAAGGACTTTTTTTTGTGAACTAGCAGGAGTACTATGTACACCATACTCATTCACGATGGGGGGCGGGGTATCTAGGCCTCTTTATTGTTATAGGGGGCTTCCAGATTCTGATAAGCCCCCTTCCCACAGACCCCACAACCACCAGGCAACGGTTGTGGTGATGAGGCTCTTGTCCTCATCAATATAAGGATAAGGTGCTTTGGCAGGGAAATCCCCTCTGGCAAGGCAGCCCCCATGTTGAGAGCAGGTGGTTTGGTATGGTTCAGGAGAGAAAGGTGCATACTCAAATCCACCTCTACCCCCCACCCCTTTCCAGGCCAGCCAGACAGCATGTTGGGTTTCAGATCTTGTATTGATTTCCTGGGTGACCGCACACACATTTTTTTTGTTCAAGGTACCCCCCTTCAAGGTACCCCCTTAAAATCCAAACCAGACATTTTTTATTTTTTCATTCTTGCTGTAGGATGTGGTAAAAAAAGATTTAAATTGCCAGCAAAGAAAACTGAATTTCTGGCTTGTTAAAAAAAAAAACAGCACACAGACCCCTTTAAAGTTACCCACAATACATAACAGACCCTTAGGGGTCTGCTATGTATTTTGGGGGACCTTTGGAGTCTGTCTACAAACAAAGAAGCAGGTGGGAAAAGTCATTTTTCAGCAAATTAAAACTTAAAATATTTTTTAAAAAATAATATTTTTTTTCCTTTGTAAATGCCAGTGCTAAAAAAAATCACTGCTCCCAGCCACATGGATTTTTTTTTTTTTGTTTTTACTTTATTTAAATTTTTTTGGATTGATACATGTTTCCTAGGGTAGTACCCACCTAATGCTATTTTTGACACCCCCTTGCCTATTAGTTCAAAGAATGGGCATTTTATTTTTGACAGATTTGGCTGCAATGGATGGGGTTTGGGATCGGCACCCTTGCCAAAACAAACCCAGGGCAGTTCGGCTCATCACTATTGGTACCTAAATAGTAGCTTGATATTTGAAAATTCTTGGAAATGCATACTACAACTTCACAACTCTCAGTAACCAGAAATCATTCCCAAAAATTTGATAAAAAGCTGTGGCTTGACATCTTTATTACCCAGCAAAATGGCTCCAACTTTCATAGGTTCATGGATATGACTATAAAAAAATCTATTAATTTATGACTTGTATTCAAAGTTTTTAAAAATTATAAAAAAAAAATTATATAGAAGGATGTAAACGTTTCCTTCTATAGGTTATGAGAAGCCTGTGAGAAGATAAGCCATGTAGGGATGTTCAGCTTCTCAAAAATTCTTCTGATATAAGACACTTGCAAAGGTCTAATCAGTTCCCCATTTGGGGACCTAAAATTTTGCTAAAACTGAGGTTTCAGCTGCATGCATATATTTGGGGAGGCAGCATGTCATGTTCATACTGCTTCCAAAGTTTGGCCTTAAAGTGGAGTTCCAGTCAAAAAATAAAAGACAGCAGCTACAAAAACTGTAGCTGCTGACTTTTAAAAAACAGCCACTTACCTGTCTCTCAGTCCTATGGTGTGTGTCCCGTAGCCCATTTCACCAGCCGTCCTGTATTCCAGGAGGCCGGCATCTTCAGTGTGGGCACCCGGCTGTGACGGCTTGTGGCTTCACAGCAGGGTACCCACTGCGCATGCACAAGTAGCGTTGCACTTCATGAATGGTCCTGTAGTCTTCTGGGACCCTGTCACTTGTCCCAAAAAAAGACTACAGGAAGGGAGGGAGGACAACCTCTGTTTCCGATCACCTAGGTGATCGGACTTGAAGTGGGAGCGGGTATCTGTCAAATTCGGTACCCGTGCCCCCCAAAGGTGGCAATCCTTAATGGGGAGTGGGGGAGCAGTCCTTAAAGTGGAACTTCCCCTTTTGGATGGAGCTCCGCTTTAATCTAATATTTGCACATACAGACCATTAAAATAGCTATAACTACACAGAGAAGAAGGCTTGCCTGGAAGAGAAAAAGAAGATGACTTACCTCAATTCTCTTCAAAGGTACAGTAACGGATAACAGCCCCAGACTGGGCAGGAGTAAATTAAGACCAGAGATCTTGTGTATGCATACCAAAACAGAAAAGGAATAACATGGCATGGAGCTCATCACTTTAAAAAGTACAACAAAGGTATATATTGATGGGCACAATTATTTCAGTAGAAGTAAGCAATGGCAGCCTCCATACTTTATCATTACAGGCTTTCTTTGGCTATTTAAGATGAGGAGATCACCCATCTGCTATGTTCTCAGTTTTTAAATCATGGTAGATCGACTGCACTATGCAATGCAAGGTAATTGGCTCATAGGAGGTGATTAATGAAAAAAAGAAAATTAGAACAAAAATGTGGTTCCTGCCAAAATCAATCAAGCAGATGTCACCTTTTTTATTAAAAAAAATGAATACATAAAAAAACAGGAATTTGGATTGGTCACAGTAGGTAACTAATCTACATATGTGTTCATTTAATTTTTCTACCATATTTATGTGTAGCGCTACCCTCGTGAGGACCGCTGTGTTGTAAGTATAACTAAGCTTCTCTCCGCACAGCCAGGCAACAGGTATTTTTCAAACACACTTGCATCCAAAGACAGTGACCAGCCCATGAACTTGGTTTTGTTGTTTTATTAGAGGAATTCAACTTGGATAGGAAATAGGGATTATTGGATACCCAATTTGACTTGAAACAATGAAAGGGGGACACTTCCTTTCTACATACAAAGCAGATTCTGGACTGTTATTTTCCTGAAAGCTGTCAGTCGTTGCAGATCAGCAGAAGCTGCCCCTTATGGGCGAGGAACTAGCAACCCCTCAAAGATCATTTTACTTCCCGTAGCTACATGCAGAGACATCTCCTCTCCCCCTACAGAGCTGCTCCCAGCTCCACAGCCTGCAGGAACTACCTCCTTGCTTTTTAGAAGATCTCCCAGATTAAGGATAAAGGATTGTGCTTGATGCTGTCCTTGGAAAGCTTGCTACATGTGGCAGTCTTTCTCTTTGTAGATCCCAGAGTGTGCTGCTCTACTCACACAGTCCTCTTTGCTCCCTGCTGCTCCAAGCCTAATCCCATCCACACCTCTCTGCAGAATGTATCCTCCTGAGCCAGCCCAAGCTCAGCCTAGAGGCCCCCACCTAGGGGACCCCTCCTAGACTCCAACAGTCTCCTCAGCACTCCATCTTCCACCCAACTCCCCTGTCAGCCTGACTCCCCCATATTTAAAGACCAGCCCACCACTCTACCAGGGCCCCCAAACCTGGGATTGGACAATCTCTATCCATGAATATGCAGATTAGGCCTCCACCCCTTCCTTCTAATCAACTTCTATGGTCCTCCAGAATCAGGAGGAGACGATAAAGCCACAACCTGTTCAGTCATCCAGCTGACCTGCAATAATCCAACCTCACTTACATGATTCACACAACTACCAAGAGCCATTCACATTGATTTTACCTTTAATACTCTACACTATTCTAGTAGCACACTAGAGAATGCTACATATGGATCACATCCACAATACCGGAAACCCTTTCTCTTGGTCTGAGTCCTGGTATGCAAGAGGAGGTAATGCAAATACAGACAGAAGATTCTTATTCTAGTAACATTTTAAAGGCGACTATAAACAAAATACAACAATTACATATGCAATGCAGCCTGTCACTGGCATTAACACAGTTTTTTGTGTTTGTATTTCCCACGACTGCAACATAGTGCTAATACCTATTGATCCTGCCAGGGAAGAGGGGGTGGGAGGTGGAGTTGCTTCATGGAGCATTCCTTTACACCTGAGGCATTGGCCGCACATATGGAACCCTTCCTTTATATAGATTGGTATCTCAAGGCTCAACTAACCAATATTTTTGGTAAACTCCAAGTATCCAACCCACCTTCTAGCCTCGCCCCACAGTTATCCCCCTCCCTGTCCAACTGTGAAGTTCACGCTCCTCTCTGGGGTATCTCTTTTCTCTTATAGAGATATACGTTTGTTCATGCTTCCACTACCAAGCTTCTGTTCCTAGGGATTTGCTCACTTTTGAGGGTCGCCTCTTTTTACTGTCATGTTGTATCATTTATGTCTATTTCTGGCACTGTTTCTTCCCCATTGTAATTGTTGTACTGGCTTTTGTTCTCATAGTCTATTTATATGTTGGCTGATACATTTGTATATCAAGCTTGAGTTCTTGTACTTACTTTACAAAATTCCAATAAAAATTTGTTTAAAAATTAAAAAAAAACCTTTCCCCCCAGCCTGGTCCGCACCACATGTCTTTGCTCGCTGGTCTACGGCTGGTCTCACCCAGACCCGACACTTTGTAATGCAGGAATAAATTTAAATCCTTCGCCTCACTATGTGAATCCCATAACCTCCCTGCCTCTGAGATATTCAGGTATCTGCAGCTGAAGCATTTCTTTGCTCCGTACACAACGGCACCCAACCCAACACCTACTTTGTCAGCTTTTGAGCGAGCATGCCTCAGGGACCCCCATAGACGGGGCCTCATCTCCTATTTATATTCCCTCTTCACAACTTCAACTACCTCAGCATTCCCCTCGTATACAAATAAATGGGAAGTGGATTTAGGACGGCAAATTGACCCCTCAGATTGGGACCTTATTTGGTCCAACACCAAGGAGTCATCACAGAATATTGTGGCCCTGGAGACCAATTACAAAGTTTTGACCCGCTGGTACCTAGTCCCTGCTAGAATTGCGAAATATACCCCTGATTACCCCTCAGTTTGTTTCAGGGGCTGCGCAGACCTGGGTACTTTTTTTCATATTTGTTGGGATTGCTCCATCGTCCGCGCATTTTGGGTGGAGGTTTTTAAAATATTATCTACACTCAGTGCCGTAACCCTCTATCCCGATCCATTAATCGTGCTTCTTAACCTGCGACCACCTGACATCGCTAAGGCGCATTTCAAACTCATTCTACAAGTCACCACCGCAGCCAAGCAGGTTATCGCTAAATCATGGAAATCTCCCTCGTTGAGTATGACTGCAGTTTCGAATAGGGTCACTCAGGTAATGATTCACGCAAAAATAGAAGCCACTATCCTAGATTCCATCCCTAAGTTCAAGAAGATTTGGAATCCCTGGGTAGAGCATTTCCTCCCATCCAATTTTGATGACTCCCTTCTCAATCCGTAATCTGCATCTTTTGTTTGACGGTACCATTCCTTAACCATACTTTTCCCCCTTTGCCCCCTACCGTGCAGCCGTATGCCCCTTCCCATCCTTCCCCTCCCCATTTTGTTAGGCCTTAACTGCCATTTGATAGTCCTCTTTATTAGTGATGCCTGGCCTTGTATTATTGGGTTTCTTACTGTGCAATTAATGTACACCTTCAATGACCCATACTTTTGCTTAATATTTTGTACTGTTCCATGTTAAAATAATAAAATTATTTGAACTAGAAAAAAAAAAACTTTCATTTACATAATTATTTTGTGTTGCAATTGTATATGCTGTGAAACCCTGAGCAGCCTCAAACAATCAATCCCCTGCTCCTTGGATTACAGGGGAGCCAAACTAATGTAAACAAGGAGGGTGCTATATATATATATATATATATATATATATATATATATATACACTATATTGCCAAAAGTATTAGGACACCCCTCCAAATCATTGGATTCAGGTGCTTCAATCACCTCCATGGCCACAGGTGTGTACAATCAAGCAACTAGGCATGCAGACTGCTTCTACAAACATTTGTGAAACAATGGTCCGCTCCAGGGGCGGACTGACAACTCATGGGGCCCCCGGGGAATAGGGGATCATGGGGCCCCTGTGTCCTTGCCCAAACTCAAAAAAGCCTATGAAAAAGGTACCAGGGGCATCTCATGGGGCCCCCTACTGACCCCGGGCCCTCGGGCAGTGCCAGAGTTTCCAAATGGTTAGTCCGCCCCTGGTCCGCTCTTAGGAGCTCAGTGAATTCAAGCTTGGTACCATGATAGGTTGCCGGATAACAGAATAAACTCTCCAGCGCTCCAGGGATCAAATGCCAAAGGAAATCCAGGGGAACCAGGACCAAAATCGCCTGTGGATAGCCTTTTGGAGATGCTGCCCTCCTCAGAGAGGGAAATCAACAACTGAAAAAAGAGCAAACAGGAGGCTCATCCCTTAGAGCATTATCCAAGGTTTATTAAAGGTAAAGAGGATGAAAACATACTCACAAACATGGGTTAAATGGGTTAAATGTAAAGCTTAGTAGAACAGTAGAGATGGCCATAACAGTTGCGGGGTGTCCGTCTGTCAGTATGTTCAGCTTGCTGACTTCACCTGTGCAATAAGTCCATCTGTGAAATTTCCTTGTTATTTAATATTCCACTGTCAACTGTTTGTGGTTTTATAACAAAGTGGAGGCAGCTGGAAACAACAGCAACTCAGCCACGAAGTGGTAGGCCACATAAAATGACAGAGTGGGGCAAGTGCATGCTGAAGTGCACAGTGTGCAGAAGTAGCCAACTGTCTGCAGAGTCAATAGCTAAAGACCTCCAAACTTTGTGTGGCCTTCAGATTAGCACAACAATAGTGTGTAGAGAGCTTTATGGAATGGGTTTCCATGGCCGAGCAGCTGCATTCAAGCCTTACATCACCAAGTACATTGCAAAGTGTCGGATGCAGTGGTGTAAAGTATGACGTCACTGGACTCAAGAACAGTGGAGACGTTCTCTGGAGTGACAAATCACGCTTCTCTTTCTGGCAATCCGATGGATGTGCCTAGGTTTGGCGGTTGCCAGGAAAACGGTACTTGCCTGACTGCATTGTCTCAAATGTAATGTTTGGTGGAGGGGGGATTATGGTGTGGTTTTCAGAGGTTGAGTTTGGCCCCTTAGTTCCAGTAAAGAGAACTCTTAAGCCTTGTTCGACATCAGTGCCTGACCTCACAAATGCGCTTCTGGAAGAATGGTCAAACATTCCCATAGACACACTCCTAAACCTTGTGGACAGCCTTCCCAGAAGAGTTGAAGCTGTTATACAGTTGCAAGAAAGAGTATGTGAACCACTTGGGATTACGTGGAGTTTTGCATGAATTGGGCATAAAATGTGCTCTGAACGTCATCTAAGTCACAACAATAGAAGAACACAGTCTGCTGAACATAATACTACACAAACATTAGATGTTGCCATAGTTTAATTGCACATAACATGTAAACATTCACAGTGCAGGGAGGAAAAAGTATGTGAGGCCCTAGCTTAATGACTTCTCCCAGAGCTAATTGGAGCCAGGAGTGAGCCAACCTTGACTCCAATCAGTGTGATGATATTGGATGTGTTGCTGACAGCTGTCCTGCCCTTAAAAAACACACACCTGTTTTGGGTTTACTGGTTTCAAGAAGCACTGTCTGATGTGAACCATGCCTTGCAGAAAAGAGCTCTCAGAAGACCTACGATCAAGAATTGTTGACTTGCATGAAGCTGGAAAGGGTTACAAAAGTATCTCCAAAAGCCTTGATGTTCATGTGTCCACGGTAAGACAGACTGTCTACAAATCGAGAAAGTTTAGCAGTGTTGCTACTCTCCCTAGGCATGGTCATCCTGTAAAAATGACAGCGCAGAATGCTGCATGAGGTAAAGAAGAATCCAAGAGTGTCAGCTAAAGACCTACAGAAATCTCTGGCACATGCTAACGTTTTTGTTGACACATCAACAATAAGGAAAACATTAAACAAGAATGGAGTACATGGGAGGACACCACGGAGGAAGCCATTGCTGTCCAAAAAGAATATTTCACCACGTTTGAAGTTTGCAAAAGAGCACCTGGATGTTCCACAGCACTACTGGCAAAATATACTGTGGACAGATGAAACCAAGATTGAGTGTTTTGGGAAGAACACACAACACTATGTGTGGAGAAAAAAAGGCACAGCACACCAACATCAAAACCTCATCCCCACTGTAAAACATGGCGGAGGGAGCATCATGGTTTGGGGCTGCTTTGCTGCCTCAGGGCCTGGACGGATTGTTGTCATTGATGGGAAAATGAATTCCAGAGTTTATCAAGACATTTTGCAGGAAAACGTACGACCATCTGTCCGCCAACTGAAGCTCCGCAGAGGATGGGTGATGCAACAGGACAATGACCCAAAGCATACAAGTAATTCAACAAAACAATGGCTGCAACAGCACAGAATACGCCTTCTGGAGTGGCCCAGTCAGAGTCCTGACCTCAACCCGATTGAAATGCTGTGGCATGACCTTAAGAGAGCGATTCACACCAGACATCCCAAGAATATTGCTACCCTGAAACAGTTTTGTGAAGAGGAGTGGTCCAAAATTACTCCAGATCGTTGTGCAGGTCTGATCTGCAACTACAGGAAATGTTTGGTTGAGGTTATTGCTGCCAAAGGAGGGTCAACCAGTTATTAAGTCCAAAGGTTCACATACTTTTTCCTCCCTGCACTGTGAATGTTTACATGTTATGTGCAATAAAACCATGGCAACATCTAATGTTTGTGTAGTATTATGTTCAGCAGACTGTGTTCTTCTATTGTTGTGACTTAAATGACGTTCAGAGCACATTTTATGCCCATTTCATGCAAAACTCCACGTAATCCCAAAGGGGTTCACATACTTTTTCTTGCAACTGTAGCTGCAAAGGATGGGCCGACTCACTATTGAACCCGACGGACTAAGACTGGGATTCAAGTTTATGTACGTGTAAGGGCAGACGTCCCAATACTTTTGGTAATATAGTGTATATACAGTAGTTCCATTTTTAAACATTTATCCAATGTGCTTTTTAATGACACAATAGCTAGACTAAAGTTTTTTTGTACATTTGTCTGTAATTCTGTTCTAATCTCTGTTCCCAGTTATGCCTGCAGTAAAAGAGTTATCTTCAAACCCCAGTTGCAGCTTCAAATGATTTCCAGAGAAAAACAAAAATATGGTAACAGCATAATTTAATGTTTTAGTGAACTTATAAAATACTGGCAAACATTTGAAATAGTGTATGGCCTTAAAAAGATACTACATATAAAATGCCACACATTCTTCTTTTTTTTTTTCTTTCACTACAGCACAACTGAACCAACGTGTTTTTTCATAGATATAAAAACAGATTGAGAAGAGGACTATCTTTAGACAAGAGTTGTGATTATGAAAAGTCCTTGGAGAGTATATACTGTGATTGGCTATGACGCTAATCATCTGTCCAGGGACTGTACTGATTGGCGCTTGGTCCTAACTAAGATTTAGTGCTTTTGGAGCTCTATGGGTTTGTTCATGATTTACACATACTGCACAGCAATAATCAATTTTTTCACAGATCTGCTCTTCCAGTATTTTGCACATGTTGCATATGTTAATTTGTACACATTGATTGCTTATTTGAATGTCTGGAGGGGAGGCTTGGTCACACTATACACTGTGTAATGTGATAGTGTTATGGCTCGACAAGGCTTTCCGTCTACTGATAGCCATGGTGAAGAATCGCCTTTACAGTGTTCATTTTGAATTCTGTTAGCACAGCATATTATGTAGTGTTGCAGATGGATTTAATTATTTACTAACAAATTCTATCTTCTCCGTGAACAGTAGCAATAAAAAGGAGCGCATTACTGAACTATTATCTACACATGGAAAACCAAGTGAAAATGATACAACTTTAGAGGGTACCTCTGTATAACTATGTGCAATATTGTAAAGTGATATTAAACCCTCATTTACTTCTTTTTCTTTTAATCCTTGCCTTTGTTCTAGTTTAGGTTGATACAATGACCGCTGCACCAGATTTCCTGTTCCAGGGTGGCTCTTTTCTCTTGCAGCATCCTATGAAGCAACGCTTGTTGCATGCAGGGACTAATGCTGTGTCTCTCTACACTGTGTGCAGCAATAGAAACACACAGCCCTGCAGCTTAGGATGGCAAGACACTCCCCTGCTCCTCCTCCCTTCTCCTTTCAAGCTGACTCCACACTGCACTGTCTACCATTAACTCTTTTTCTGTGAAGATTGATAGTTCAGGGAAGCAGCACTGACAGAGCAAGAGCAAGCATCATTAAAATTTGTAAAAGTTTGCCAATGTTAAATAAAAGTATGTTTGCTAAAGCTGACATTTACTCTAATGTATAAGTCATGTTGCCCTGCCTCCTTCTTGCTCCCTCTCTTACAGGTGGAAATAAATGTTTTTGTCTTTTTTTTTTTTTAATAACTGGGGAAATGTATTTCTGCTCCAAAGGCTAGGTAAGGTTTTTTCCTGAGCCCCCTGTACATGTGCAGATTTGCTGCAGGGCTTCGAGTCCCAAGCGAACCCTGTGGCACATCTATGCACACATGAGTTTCCCCAATCGTATGTGCACAGTATTAGGGAGGTCCCAGAACCTTGCTGTTATTGTACGTCTGGGAAATCAGGACTTAAAAGCCAGGCAGAGCCCTTCAGAACATCTGTGCACCAGTGTCAATTTTGCAGACAAAAATATTTTTTTAACTAAATTAACACTATTTTAGTCAACTAAAATATGACTAAAAACTAAAACAATTCAGATGACTAAAATACAACTAAAACTAAATTCAGATGACTAAAATACGACTAAAACTAAAATAGCCAAATTAGTCAAAGGCTATGACTACACCTAAATCGAAATTTGATGTAAAAATTAACACTGGTTATATATCACAACAACTAAATCTGTATCTGTAGTGCATGTTCAAACCTTAATATCATAAATAATATGTTATAGATTTTTACAGAGTGGGACTGAAGGTCCACCTTATTAAGATAGCTGGGAAGGTTGGGTTCGGGTCTATTGGTCTCAGGGAGTAGAGGAGGAGTGTCAATCCTGAACTGAGAAGCTCAGCCAATATCATTCTGAAAGTTTGGCCTTTTATCGGCCAGAGGTTGAGGAATAATATTTTTCTGACAAGAAGTGGAGGCTACGATGTCCTCATCATGGGACTATCCTTGAT